CTGATTTTTGTATTTCAAAAGGTGGTTAAATATTCGTTTTTTTCGATGAAACAGCCTTTAGCCCACATAGTTGCATGCTTTGACAAACTGTGTGACTTAGCTTCTTGGCTTAGGCGTGGGTTAAACAAAGACAGCGAAGAAAAGGAACAATGCAGTTATTCATAAATCAAAACGAATCATTGAACCTTTGAAAACAACAGGTTTTGTGCTTATATAGTAAACCAATCGCAAGTAATTCAATAAAACATAACGAAAATTGCACGTCTTATTTTTTCCTGTCAACTTTTCGATTAGAATGAAAGAAAAATAATTGTGATGAAACAGCCTTTTTTTTGGACAACTCAATTTTAATAAACTTATGTCTTATCTGTAACAGCTATATGTGAATTCACTGATGGTTAGGATTATCATTATACTTATCAATTTTTTAAAGCTGAAATCGGTTATCATAATTTATAAACGATGTTTTGGAGTAACATGAAAAGCTAGAAGCTGCAATTGAATTGTCATCTCACTGACCTAGCCTTAAACCTTTTTTGACGACAAAACTTGTCAGAGAGTGATTGAGAGAGAAGGAAGCCGGCTGTACTATCGATAAAGCAGTCACTTGATATTGGCTGAATCTTGGGAAGAACCAAGGTAAATATTTTTTGGTTTTTGTGAAATAGTTATACTAATGTGATGATTCAATAGCTATAATCCATGATCTGTAGGAGAGAGTGAATAAAGCACAAAAATGATTATCTCATTGAAAGAAACTTCTTGCGGTTTGGTAATTGAGGTTATGAAGTTAGATTTCAGTATTGACGTAAGAATAACAAAATTATTCGTTCACTTTTTATCCGTCAAAATGATGTTAGCTAAAGACATGTGCAGTCGCTGAGTTATTTGATACCGTGCTAAATTTAACGCAGTCATTGAGGTCCAAAAGAGGGAAAAAATTATAGCGTGTCAAGCCATTTGTTAAGTCACCGACGGATTGTGAGATACCTATATACCTAGGGGTAAGAATAGTGAAAAAGTCCTAAGTTTGCGGTTAACTAATTGTTTCTTCATGACCGTCAAGGTCACTAATCATTATTTTAGGATGCCTCGCTTAAAGTTTACCGGCGTTCTCGTTGTTTGAAATTGTATAATTACTGTGGAGTTTCCGATTACTCGGGTTTTATAATGCTAATGATGTTAGCTACACACATGTGCACTTGCTGAGTTATCTGATACCCTGATAAATTTAACGCAGTCATTAAGGTGCAAAAATCAAAATCAAAATGGGTAAAACTCTTTGTTGAGTCATCGACAATCCACGAGCCGGTTTGTGATATACCTACATACCTAGGGGCAAGAGTAATGGAAATGTCTTAAGTTTGCGGTCAAGTAATTGTTTCTTCCTGACCGTCAATACTAATAATCATGTTGTTGCTAAATTATGTTGGGATGTCTCGCTTAAAATTTACCGGCGTTTTCGTTGTTTGAAATTTATAACTACTATGGAGTTTCCGATTTTTCGGGTGTTATGGTGCATGCCATACACAGATCGATATGTAGAAACAGAACAAAACAAAACAAAACAAAACGCATCATTTATTTCTTCGATGGCTGTTTTGAACTAAGTTATGTTGGTCATAATAGTCATAATTATGCGTGGTTGGTAGTCTGAATCTACTGAATGAGTTAGTTAATTGAGTTCATCGCAGTTTCTTCTTGTTGCCATTATTCAAGTTTATTCTTCACCTTAAACTGTTTGATTTATTTTCACTGCGGCTGTTATTCCTTTACACGAAATAAACCTTGAGGTTACATGGATCTACCTAATAACAATAACAAACGCGAAGCAATTCTATAACTTCACACCTGTGGAGTTTTTAAGGACAGAAAATGACCTCCTTCAAAGTGCCTGATCACTGTCTCGCTGAGATTTAAAACTGAAATATTGAAATTTAAAGAACATCCGTTGGACTTTGAAAGTTAAAATCGCATCTCTTTGAGACAGAAAGCCTCCTTGCCTCTTCATTTTGCCTGATACCATTATATACCAAAAGGAGACAATTTTAAAAAGCCGGTAGTGTTTTTTAAGAGACGAAGGAAAACCAACGCTTATTTTAAAGCGATCTTCTTCTTTAATGACCATATACAACGAGGAATGGGCTTACCCAAAACTTTCAAACCATTTCTTTTACTTTCATAAAATTAGATACTCATTTCGTCTCGGTAATGCGTTCCGTTCTTGTCGTATGCAATTTATTCTCCTTTCTACGTATCTGGTATTCAGTGAAAACTAAATGTCACCTGTTAACACTCACAGTCTAAAATATCAAATAAAGAGGCAGAAAATGGCATAGGAAGGTTCTTAGCCTTTCACGAGTTGACGTTCGATTGATCCCAGAGCCATTCAACTAACATAACAGCCTTGGTCTCGACTTCGTTGAAATCAACTGCTGCATCCTCCACATGTGTTCTCAGCGCTTGTGCTTTATCGGTTTCTTCAACGCTTTCATCTGATTTGCCATCTGCAGGAAGGCTTATAAGATTCGCGCGATTGCAATCAAAAGACCCCTTGTCTCTGGGAAATAACTTTGCTGGATTGTCTGTTTCATCAAAAGTGAGTTTGTCCGACTGCTTACTTGGTGGGTTAATGAAGCCTGCACACACCAACGAAGGCAAAGGATGAGCCACTTCTGTTTGCGATTCACGACCTTCCACCAAGTTTACTCTTGATAGAAAGGCGGTCGTGTGAAGTTCTGTTGTATTTTCTTTTGAGATCGGAAGGGAGAGCCTTCTGGAATCGTTCACTGCTCGTTTGATTCGTGGAAGTGAGGATTTCGTACCCGTAAGAGAAGATGATGCGTCAGTAACTTCTTCATTAACCCACGGCTTTTCCATGCTTGAAGTTAGTCCAGTTTCCCTTCTCTCGTAATCTTTCCCTGAGTGTATCCTGTTGAGACTTGCAGCTTTCTCAAATGGAGAAATATTACATGTTACAGGGGATGTTGGTAGCGCAGGAAAACGAGCCAGCCTTGTTCTCAAATCACTGTTTGTTTCTTCAGCTGTGGCCTTTTCTTCCTCTCGAGGCTTAGGGTGAAATTTAAAGCCGTCGTTAAAGGGAAATTCAGACTCTTCTATTAAGTAATGCCTGGAGGAGCTGTAAGGCGAATCAAGAGAATGTCTTTTACCAGTTCGAAAGTTTCTTGGCAGTTCTGCAACAGAAGAAGTGTGCCTTATCCTTTCAACGGAAGTAATAATTTCCGTTAAAGACGTCTCTGGAAGCGAAGAAATACGCCGTCTAGTTCTAGGCTGAAACAGTTTTGTCTCATCCATGTTTCTTCTATCCGGCTTTCTTAATTAAAGTTCCTTGTAGGATTCTGACAGAGTAGATCCTTGTGATAATATGCAGCAGATAAAGATCGACCACCTGACTCTTATAGGAGAATGTTTTTGACAAAGGTCTAAGAGTCCTTTGTTTGGCTAGACACTGCGTTAACTTTTCTGAATGTTTAATACTTCTACACCTGTCGTCTCCCGGAAATAAGGTGGCTCTGTAATCGCCGTTGATAGTCTCTTTTTGTTGCTTTGTTAGTTCCCATAGTCCAAGGTCTACTATTGACAAATGTTTCCCCTGGCCAAAAATAATGGCTAAAGAAAACAGATTCTTGAAAGCCGATCACAAGATTGCATCAAACAATGGAAACGAGTTCCATTTCCAGGAGTGCTTCTTTACCCTTGGTCAATTTTCACATATTGCAACAAATATGGTTGTTTTTGGACGCAAGTGACAGTGGAATATTAGAATCAAAACCGCATGAAAGGAAAGGTCGTTGGCCGCTTAAATTAATGGGACATTATGATTAAAATTAGACAATATGACATTTCGACGCGATTGTGTTGTTAAGAATAATGCGTATTCATTAGCAACCTTAAATGGAATTTAAAGATGCCAAAAAGTTCTTGAACTTTAGTTATAATTACCAATCGCAATTCTTTAGCTGCATAGCTGCATATATTTCCCACGCTTATCGACCACAGAGACAACTAGGCTATTGTTCAGGACAATAATATTTAAAAAAAGCATTCAATAATATTTACTCGTGACTTTACTTCAACGTCGATATTGAACTTCACTCAATTCAATACTTTTCACCATCAAATCACTTGCCTCAATAAAGTCCGAGAGTAATGGTGGTACAGGACGTCAGTTCCCGTTCTCTAAAATATCCGAATAACAATCATTCCCATATATTAGGGAGTGTTGAAATTTCCCTTTTCTGAGCAAAAAGATTGGTCAATCGTACCTTGGTCCCTGTGCAAAAGCCAATTTAATTACGAGAGATTGTCCTTGTTCAGTCAACTGAAGGCGGAAACGTATGACCAATATATTTGTTTGTGTTGATTTAGTAGAAATATTCTTATTCTCTTACATGGTTTTAACTGAAGAATTATAAGAAATAAAGTGAGTATTACTGAATTATGCCCTTGCAACAACGTAAGGGTGTACCAACAGATTGATTCCAAAGTTTCTGATCTTGCTCGTGATAAGGTTCATTTACTTTTGTGTTTATTCCTCCTTGCGCATGGTCGCTTTAGGCGCAATTTGGCTATGGTTCCGGAAGAGTGACCACCCTATACGTGTCGAAAAACAAGAATGCTATCAAACAACTGTATTGTGATTCCTTCGAAAGAAAAAAATGAAGATATTTTATTTATTCAATAATGAGTTTCAGTACAAGAAAGAGAGTGTCGACACAAGCTTGGAACTTGAGTAATCTCACGCTCTTTGTTGACGTTCTTTGTTGATATTGAAATATCCTAGTGTTCAGTCCATGACATTTGACAAATGGTTGCACTACCAGTCTGCACCCAGGGTTTCCAAACCAAAATAAAGGGAAAATTCTGAAACAGGAAAAATTAAATTTCGCAAGTTGCGCAGTGTAAAAGTTCATAAGTTCTACACTGCATCATCTCTCTATGCGTAGGACATATTTATGATTCGGGTCACTGGCGTGTATCAATTTTGCAGATCAGCAGAGCGTTTGAGTATCACGAATCTTCGTGACCATGGACAGCATTCTTCACGTCCTGTTAAATATCGATCTGTAAGGGTAGAAATGAGCTTTTTGGAAAAGAAACGATCATTAACGAGCGAAATCGCCGATGAAACTACAAAGAAAAACGGTTTTGAGGAACGGAGACTGCAAAAAAGACTTCAAGACATCGAGCGAAGCGCTTTGAAACAACAAAAGAAACGTAGCAACGAACAACTCGAATACGCTCTTGAAAACCTTTCCCTTGAAGATGTCAACGCATTCAACAGCCTCACAAGGAAGATTCTTAAATCCAGCTTTCTTCCTCCGATTAACCAAAAGCCAGCAGGTGGCTCAGGTGAAGGAAAACGTGGAAACAGGAATGAGATCTTAGCAGAAAGGCTTAGAGGCTCGAGAATGATCCATAGCTATCTTGATAAGCAGAAACAAAGATGGTTGACGAGAAGTTTGTCGGTTGACTCAGGACTCATTCCTCTTTCTGGAAATCGAACTGTGGAGGAAACGGAGTTGAAACCTGGCCCTTACTCAGCTTTTGTGAAAAGACAGCTTGCTGGCTCGCTCTCTGACGTATCCTGCCCAACAGTGTTTGCTGGCGCAGTCACCAATTTCAGTCACGTAGCTCAAGAAGGGCGCAAATTTGAGGATATAAAAAGCATTCAAAACACCCGAAGAGTTGATTTTGCTGACGATATCAAAGAGCAATTGGAAAGATCCCGGTCAAAGCCAACACTACGGAAAAGGCAATCCAACCATCACCTTTCATGTCAACCAAAAATTCAACACAGCTGCCTGAGTGATGCCATTGTATACAAACTTGAAATGCGAAAAAGGGAGCGACTAAAACTGTATCAACAAAGTGGCGATTCTTGTACCTGATACTAATTACAATGCCTGAGACAGTAGGACAAGAACTGATTTAAAACATTTTTATAGATTACTTAAAAGTATATTTGCCATCGTATTTATTTCAGCGTGTTTACAAATCTAGTTTCTAAGTTATGTATTTAGCTGCTGATCTTTTTCAATCAGTTTTAAATTAATAAAGAGTACATGTACGCATATCAACACATCTCTCTCGAGTTTTTTTTTTTTTTAAACGCTTAAAGAGTAAATAAACCGTTGATGTTTCATTCTGTAGATTTCTCACCGAACACTAATAGTATCAGAACTTTAAGGAGGCATGTTTTTAATCCCATGTGAGATCTAGTAGTGATTCACTGCTTTTCTGACCGATGAAAATGCTCATTTTTGTCGTCATGAAAGAATTAAAAAACTTTTATTTAACTGAGCTATGTTACTTCCTGGTTGAAATCGTCTTAGAAGGGCAAACAAACACTTATCAAGAAACTCTCTAGCAATTCTTAGTGATACTTCAGGTGAAAGTGTTTTCATAATCGACCATAGAGGTCAGTGGAAATTGCCCTATCGATATTTCAAAGCGAGAACTATATATTCTGAAACCGTACCACAGATGCTGGCGATATGGGAAAGTAAAGACAAAATTGATCACTTAATAATGAGTTTGATTGATCGAAAGTGCAATTGAGAGGTATGTTGTTCCTTCCGATGCGTCACGTCCTGATCATTGTATGGTGAGCCTGTTGAATGGTGTTTTATAGATATGATGATAGCTTCCCACCGCTAATGGCGAGCGATTACATCAAGCGTGGAACTTGCTGGGAAAGCCATCCTTGAGTTTGCGGTTTTCTTGGCAGGAATAAACCCGAAGACGTTCAAACATTGATTTCTTTTTCATTAGCAATGTTTAACTGGCGACACACTGATATACATGTCGGAAGATTTGACTTTTTGTCATTAGTTATAGAAACTATTTACAGATTTTATTTTACAGTAAAGCTATGTTACCGGCTGAGTGTGTCAGTTTTATTTTATTCTCTCTGAATTAAAGGCTGTTTAATTCAAAGCGCTTTCTTTGATGTAAAAATAAATTTGATGAAAAAGAAATTACATCGGCAACGGGCCAGCAAATTCATCAAGAATTCAATAAATTAAGGCGCAAAAAGCGCTTGCAACAACAAATTAAAATTAACTGAAAAAGAAAATTTTTGTGAGACTAATCTTGGAGTGTTTCGGAATGTGTTTGATAAAATATGAATGACCGCCTTCTTTATCGAATCAGTATTCACCAAAAAGCATAGGTTTACTTATAATCTTAGACAAAATCAATTGCAAGCCTCAGGGCGATGGTTTTCCGCGAGGGAAGGTTGTAGGTTATGCAAAATTATAAAAGGAAAATAAAAATTATATAGCAACTCTATCGTAATTAACGGCCCTTGAAGAGTTTAAGATTTTAAATATTCATAATCGCTTAAGTAAAGCTGATTTTCTGTCAAATCGAGGCACTCAATTGATGCCAAAGTGACATTCGAGGATCAACTAGTAAGGTACTGCCTTAATAGGCCGGGTGCAAGCTTTAAGTCGGTACCTTTGAACAGCAGCTTAAAAGTTGTTTCAGCGCGATTCCAATTCTTTCCAATTTGGACGTATGCTTCCAACGTTAAAGTAAGTATGCTCAGAATACTGGCATTATCATTCTTCAGATTAATAACTATAGAGGCCGAACTGACATATGGGATAAAGCCAAAGCTGTATTATGCTGCAAAATTGACACAAAAATCTGAGACGCGAACTTCAATCGAAAAATTTTGTGCCCCAAATTGAACTTAAATATGAATAAGGTAATTAAATTGATTTGTATGAGCTTTCTCAACAATTCCTTTAATCGACACAAAAGAATGTAGAGGATAACATGTTTGCAGTACTTGAAGGTTAATCCCTTCAAATGTCTTCGGGATTACGAAATTCATGCTAAGAAGATCTTTTAGGGTAAAAAAAGTTGTCACAAATTAAGACAACAGCTTATGTTTTCCACCCCTCATGAAACAAATTATGATTTGAAGATCCCTCCATATTATTCTAACACTGAAATCATAAATTACACAAATGGAAATATACTCTTGCAGCAATCGTTTTTTGAGGTATAAAAGTAGATAATATAAGATCAGTTCCATCAAATTTAGCAGAAGATTAAGTTTAAGAAAATAAGATTCCAAAACTTTTGACGTTTTAGTGTCAAGCTGGCGTCAGATTGCTGAGGTTAATCCTTTGAAGTGCAAAACGTTCTTTGGGAAAAAATTCCTTGTAATTAAAATCGTCTTTGTCTTCATCAGTTCAATTTCAAGGACGATGAGCGCAAAGGATTCATTGCCCAGGAAACAAAGTAGCAATAGTCGCATAAACAAACAAAACGCGTATCGAGTTCTTAGCCACGAACTTCAGTCACCCTCGACCGATCTTCTGCGATCGAGATACGACGATACACAAATATTTTGTGCTCGAGAAGCCGGCGGAAGCCATTTCAGGTCGCAGTCAGAAATCGTATATTCCCTTCAAGAAAGGGATGGCTCCCTAATCAGGGACAATCAAAGGTGTCAAGAATTTTGCCCCAGTAATGGTAGAAATTTTCACGAAAGCAAATTGCCGAAGATAACCCAAGGAGATGCAGCGACGAATAAACATTTAGTAGGTGATTGGAAGGCAATAGCGACAGATAGCATAAAAAGGTCCCGTGCAAAGAGCACGAGTGTTCTGCCAGACCTATCAGGAAGTATGGAGAAGGTGGTAAAATTCAGACCTGCTACACCTCTGACAAAACAGCAAGTTGAGGACTTAAACGATAAGGTTGCCGCATCTCATAACAAATCGCATGATTTGGCCAAATGGCTCAGAGACCAACAGTAACTACAAAGGAATGAAAGTAACAATATTTTAGTATTCCCAGCAAGTTGGAATTTACCCGTTTCTCGCAAGGCTCATTGAATTGTATTTATGTCGAGTTTAAAAACTATTAATTCTTTAAGAAAAGAAAAGTATATCCCGCAGTCCTGAGGAACTAATATTTATTCCATAATCACCGAACTCATTAAGGGAATGGTGAAGGTTAAAGTTCGGCTGAAACCTTCACCAGATTGGTTTGTTTTCTTTGTATCTTCTCTCTTTCATGATTGTTTTCTTTTTAAACTCAAATGAACATCAGTGCATAGGGGTTTAACCCTGTAAATATGATAGATCCATGCAGTCGTACATTGAAAAATTTTCTTAACATACAAGCGTTGATGTCTTTGCCGCTCACAACAAACACAATAAGTATGATACATTTTGATTTCAGTCAAACATTAAGCTAAGGGATGATTTTGTCTGATAATAGAACAGAAACTCAAGGATCAGCTCCGATCAAATCTTCTTAAAGCTTATTCATTTAACACGTATTATACAGTTGTCCATTGAATGGATACTAATAGTTAACTTAAGTGATTAATCACAAATGTGTTGAACAAACTTTGGGATTGTGCTAGTGTTTTGGATCCCTCTTTTGTTAGAAGGGAAAAAACCCCAAGGAGAAGAGGCCGCATCATGCGATCTTAGTTAATCATACTGTAGCTATTTCAAGATATTACAACTTTGCTTTTCTACGGTACATCATACAAAAATGAACAATAATAAATGAACAAAGTGTGACATCGGCTTGACGCTAGTATGACGCCACCTCAGTAGTGTTCTCCTTTCTTGTTCATCTAACGATATTCGTTTTCCCAGTTTTCAAACGAAGAGAAGAAGAAATCATTTGAATATTTTATTTACAAATTGACATCACACTTTTGAAATCCTTGGTCGGGGAAAGGGAAATTTATAGACAAGGTCATTCTGTAGGAAACACACGCGACCCAGATCGAACAGGATTGAATATTTAAATAAATGAGTTAGACTTTTAAATCGATATTATTGATCATATTATTTTCATCTGTGCTAGCTGAGTTGAATATAAACTAATGTAAGCACTGGTCGGTGGTGCTAATACATGGATTTCGTGTTTCTCTCAGCGTTCTTTGAAGCTGCTAGTTTAAGATGCATGAAGGATAATGATAAAGTTCCTTGGGCAGGGTGTGAGGTGGTGAGGTTAAAATCAAAAAGGGGAAAAAGATGCATGCATGACGCACTTATTCTTATTTTCACTCCAATATGCAGTGATCTTCGTACTTCAGGTACCAACCCTACACTTAGCCGTCCTACCAAAGCGGAATAATTTTTGTTGTGTCACGAAAGGAAGCCGTAAAGAAACAAGTGCAGAATTCAATTTGCCCTACCTAATTTGAGGGCATAAGTATTTTTTTTTCGTTTTGGGTAAATGGTCTTCTTTTCGTTGCATCGATTTTCATCCAAAGAAATTTCCTTCATATGTCTCGAGTTCTCCAGACCATTGGTGATACAGAACGCACAGAACATAGGAAGGTCGTAGAATTTCACTACAACCATGCTTCTTACCACCGATATGTAACCTTTTTCCTCATCTGGGCACATCAGGCTCCAGATGAATTGAGTATGCTTCGAGTAACATCTTGTAACATTTTATCAAACAGCATGTTCAAACCACGCTATTGGCCCTCAGCAAGTTATCGATCCTACTAGGATGACGGGAAAGAATCCAACCATATCAAAACATGAAGCTTCCTACGTTGCTGTCTTTTGCTTAGATTTCGAAGATAAGAATCTTAATGCCTAACCCTTTTTTTCTTTAGATATCAACCAAAAATTGACAAGGCGCGTGAATTGATTCTTTGGTAAAGAGATCTTCATATTTCGAGGAAAGGAAATCAGCATAAAATAGTTAGTTGCGTGACTGAATGACAATGCTCGATCTTCAAAGAGTAATCAACATGGGACAAATCTAGCAATATGCATATTTGCAGGTAAAAAAAAGCCGTTAAAACTTCTTCTTCCTGTTTTTGTAAAAATGCGCCGTATTTCGCTCGATTGAGTGGTATGTTGTTCCTTCCGGAGCGTCATTTCCTTAGCATTTCCGGAGGTTCACGAGGCTTTGTCCATTTCGGAGCCTTATTTTCCGCGCCACGGCAAGGGTTTTGTTCCGCTTTCTGTGTGCTTATCAACCAACCATGTACAATGTAAACGAATCCTTTTTAACAGAAGATTGGAAAAACTATAGATTTAATCTGCTCTTGTTCATCGTGGAAC